CAAATCAAAACCACAATGACATGCTACTTCACACCTGCTAGGATGGCTATCGTTAAAAGACAGAAAGCAACAATTGCTGAGGCTATGGAGAAACTGGAACTTTGATACACTGCTGGGAGGAAGGTAAAATGGTGCAGCCACTCTGGAATACAGTCTGGCAGTTCCCCAAAGGGTTAAACACGGTCACTATATGACCCAGCAATTCTACTCCTGGGTATATATCCAAGAGAAATGAACACAAATGTCCACACAAAACCCTGTACACAAATGTTCAGAGCAGCATTATTCACAATAACCAAAAAGTGGAAACAGTCCAAACATCCATCAACCGATGAACAGACAGATAAAATGTAGTATATCCTCACAATGGAATATTATTCAAAGACATAAATTAAGTACTGATGGCACTACAACATGGATGAACCTTGAAAACATGATGCTTCGTGAAAGAAGCCAGTCACAAAAGGCCGCATACTGTATGATTCCGTTTATATGAAATGTCCAGACGGCAAATCTATGGTGACAGAGAGGAGACTGATGGTTGCCTAGGGCTGGGTGGTGGCAAAATTGAGAGGGAATGGGAAAGGGGGGATTGCTAAAAGGTGCGGTGTTATCTTTCTGGGGCGGCCAAAATGTGAAACCGATTGTGATGGATGTAAGACTGTGAAGACACTAAAAGCCACTGAATTTCATACTGTAAATTACACATCTCAATAAAGCTGTTACAATTAAAAAATAAAGCAGAGCCTGTGTTCAGTGAGTAGATAACTGAAACATAACAATAAGAGTAAAAACTGCTAATATAACTGAATTACATCCTCTTTGTTAGTATCTCCTCCTTTTATTTGCTCAATTAGTAAATCAAAAGTCAAATCCAAACGGATCATTTTACCACAGGCTCTACTTGCAAGAAGTAATAAGGATCTCTGTCAGCTCCCTGCTCATAGAGCTAATATAAACTTGGGCAGTATCAGATCATAACAGAATTTGAACTTAGCTTTTCTCTGCAATAAAGAGAAACAGGTTATCCTTAGGATGACAGAAATTTTTATTTTAATGCAGAAATTTTTCTAGCTAGCTGCCAGTTTTCCACTAACCTCAGGGAAATATAAATGAAAACAGTAACACATTTACAGATTTAAAATCTGTGTTTTTGACAACTGTGAAGAGTCCTGAAAGTCACAACTTAGTCATCTACAAGCTAAGCTGGTGTGCAGGGCACTGAGGTCGTGAGCAACTCTAGCCAACAGCCCAGCACCTCCAACTCAGCTGGCGGTACCAAAACATTTATGGATCTGCAGCGGTCTCAGGAGAGAGCCCCTGCAAATGTCATGGGTCAATTATGATATCAATCATAAATGAGAGTAAGGATTTCCCTGGTGGCGCAGTGGTTAAGAATCCGCCTGCCAATGCAGGGGACACAGGTTCGAGCCCTGGTCTGGAAAGATCCCACATACCACGGAGTAACTAAGGCCATGCGCCACAACTACTGAGCCCGTGTGCCACAACTACTGAAGCCTGTGCGCCTAGAGCCCGTGCTCCGCAACAAGAGAAGCCACCTCACCGCAATGAAGAGTAGCCCCCGCTCGCCGCAGCTAGAGAAAGCCAGCGTGCAGGAACAAAGACCCAACGCAGCCAAAAAATAAATGAACTTATTTAAAAAAACATAAGACTAAGCAAAATACATTCTACTATTTACAGAGACTACTCTACGTATATAACCAAATTTCACACAAATTATGTACAATTTTCTATGCCCACAGCCCTACAGGCCTTATGATTTTATGAACACAAACTGTTTTCTTAGATATATCATGAAGTTTTGTTGTTAAACATTAATTCTAATATTATAATATAAAAAAAGAATTTTACGCAGCCTAGAAAAGAAAAAAACAGTATTATTGCATTTTTACCTCAAAGACAATAAAAAAAATGTGAAAAGAAAACCAAAAAATGTATAGGCAGGTGTTTCCTATAAGAAGAAATAATGTAACTTATTGTCAAAATGTTTTGTGCATGCTCTTTTAAAAGATTAAGTTTGTTCAAAACCTGGAAAAAAAAAAAAAAAACTTAAACAATACTGCAGTAGAGGATAAACACATGCTAGTTCCTGCAATACAAATCCAAGAATTGCTTACCCGGACATCACATAAGAGATGCACTGAGACTCAGAAGTCCCATCTCTAACCTGACATACACACAGAACTGGGCTGTACTAGCCTCTTAAGTTCCAGAAAATAAGAATAAACCACACTCCAAGTGGACGGTGACACACACCCACCCTCACCGAGACAGCTAACAGATAAAATCCTTCTCCACTCGGATTGCCTGAACACACCGATGCTTCCCCATACGTTATCTTTACCTGCGACAGTGAGTTAACAAGTACCCAAGCCACCAAAAAGCAGGGCTGTGAGAGGCACCTGTCCCAGGAAGTGTAACAAAAGGGAATACTTAGGCGACCGGGGACTCCGACTCTATCAGGCAGATGGCTTTAATTACTACACTTCTATAAACTAATTCATTACAGTCAGTAGGACACACATAAAGACAGCACAGCACTTTTAAAAAATCAACCACAAAAGCACTGTTAACCTTGTGCCAAAAACATGCCCAACCAAAATTGTTCTACCTTCTCTTTCTGAAGATAGTGACTACATTCTCATTGAAATATAGATGGGAAGATTTACTATAAACCACAATCAAATATTTGACACCCAAACTCCAAAGACCACAGCAATCCACTTAATACAAGCACGTGAACGTCTAAGTGAAGCGGCGCAAGCACGCAGGGAACCTGGAGGTAATCACCACTTCCCAGCCAGCCCCAGCACAGCGGACCCTTTGCCAGGGGGAGCACCACAAACATGAAGGTGGGCATGATCTTAGCGTCTGCGTGATCAGTCCAATCAACTATTTGGGGGTCAATAAAAGGAGCTAAAGACACTTCACCAATAGTCCTTGCTTCTGAAGCAAATTTAGTTACCCAACCTGCACGTGGTTAAAAGGATTTCATTGCAAATTTCCCAAAGCCAGCAAATCAACCAAACAAGGTATCTTTCCTACAATGTTCTATGTCAATATCTCAATAAAAATGGGGGGAAAATAAAACTAAGTAGGTGTCTTTCCTGAGGTTGTCTGAGGGGCTTATTATGTGTGACATCTACATTTTTAAATGTAAAACTATTACATATATTTTGCTTACATAACCAGTAATGATACTTTAACTAAGGCTCAATGAAAAAGTAAATCCCCAAATTTCAGATGACACCATAGTTAAGCTTTTCTTTTTTACATTAAACAGAACTATGGTTCAATTATTTAAGTTTATTTAAGTAATAATAACCATTATGTAATTCCTTTCACAGACTCTCCAGTTTTCATGCATGTTTACAATATATCGGTTTAATCTAAGTTAAATTATTATTTGTAGTAAGTCAAGGCTAAATTAGACTAATGCATTAGAAAATAATATATGATAGTAAAGTTGCAAACAGTCTAATCGTCACATGTTATATGTGGATTTCACTTATCAAAAGTGAGCCTTAAACAAGCTCATCAAAACAAAGCAATTAGTTTATTTTGCCAAGAATCTGTTGTCAAAATTTAAGCAAATAAGTGTATAAACTAAGTTCACATATTTACCAGTTCAGTTGTTTGTAAAAAGGTAACAAAAATAATATATGAGGTAAAACACAGTTTATTAAAAAAAGGATTCAAACCATTAAAACAAATATTATCATAAGAAACAAGGGATTTTAGTTTAATTCAAACTGAAGTTTTTCCACAAATCAATCCACTTACACAAATTGGCCACCAAAGCCTAAACAATGATCTGTCGTCTGAAACAGCTTTGATGTAACATAGTCTTAAGTGTGACAAAAAAGTCTTACTATTAAACAGTTTTTCCTAATAAAGAATCATTTGTTCTAGCTGAGTGAAACTTTCTTCGAATGTTATTATTGCAAGTTTATATACTATATATGACTCTCATGTAAAGAACCATATTAAATTCACCACAAACTTTAAGTCTTATTAGAATTTTTCCTACACAAAATAGCTGTCAACTAGCCACAGAGCCATCTGCAAAACTTTCACTTTCACTAACAACCATAGTTGCTGTCTTTGCTTTCATATAAAAACAAAATCAGTGAAATCAGAAATCACACCCAACAACGCACTCAATATTGGAAACCTGCCCTCTCACCTCTGATGCACACCACCACCAATTTAAACGACAAAAACTCCACACTGGCCTGGTTTCAACACTGAGTTCACATCAAAACAGAAAGAATTGTCTTAAAACAGTCAAACAGCCATCTTGCAACTACGGCACCAGATGCAAGATACTGTTTAAGGTGGGAGATAGTTTCTCTCCTCTTTCCACTACGTACCTGCACGTCATTAATCATTTCTGGGCAAGCACGTTAACTTCCTCTAAGTAGTAAACTCAGACCAGAAAGTTGAGGGTATGTGGTCATAAAGGAGAGAGCGTTTTAAATTCAACCTGCCTCCAATCACCCGTTCTGACTTAGTCACAAGCCATGACGACAAGAAGTAATGTAAACCATGAAGAACACTGTTTAATGTTCCAGCACTTTTAAAAATCAATTTCCAACAGGATAACAATTGAATAATTATCAAATAGCAAATATTTTAGCCACGCTGTTATTGCACCATTGAAGAAGTCATTTAAAACCCTCACGCCTCTTGCACTAAAAGGTGACTGTATTTGTTACCCTATAATTTCACTACCTTATTGTTATTGCGTTACTCTGTTTTTTGGTGACGCCACTCTACCACTGCAAACATACTTGCGGAATATCCCATTTCTGGAGAGACAACCACCACCACTGTCTTCCACAATCATTAAAGTCCAAACCACAATGATGTTTTTACTAACTAATCAGGCTACAACAACAATAGTTGCGCATCAGACCAACAGTTCAATTACCTCTTCCGCAAAAGATACAAATAAATAAAAATCCGTAAGTACTTACCTACAGTTGGGAGGCGGGTCCAACGTAATTTCTGCAAGTTCCTTCTGAATTCTTCAAAATAAAGACAAAGAAAGTTACATTAAAATGTCTTCACTCTTTTAATATTTCATTAAAATTATACTTTTACACTAGTATTTCCCGTTTGTATGCTTTTAACTTGAAATACTAATACCATATAAATCATCATATACAATACCAACAAAGTAGTAATTTCTGCCACAGTTTTGACAATGCTCCTACAAAGAGTAATGAGACTGGCCACCATCGGTGCTTGCAGCCTGTGTTAGCAACACTATAAGTTCAATGAAAACTTCGTTAAGCCACTGCTAACACTAACCAAAATTTCTAGTTTAAATTGGAAACGTTTGCCACACTATTTATGGATCATTCCAACTTCTGATCTGTGCTAGAACATCCCATATAGGATGGAAAAATGATCATATTAAGTTGAATCCAAGCATCCTGACTGAGCCAATCAACTGGTGAAGAAAGGATTATCACGATCTCATTCTAACACCCAAAGCCGCTATCAAAGTATAAATGGTATTATTCCCTGAAGCCTCTAGGTTGGGGCAAGTTGAGGCTTTCAAGTTTCAATAAGCCTTACTAGAATTCCTTCATTTTAATGTAACTGCATGAGCTTTGTGCAAAGGGGGGGGGGGGAAGAACTTTTATTTTAAAAACCTGTTTTTGCCCTCATGAGTTATTTTCATCTTTTATTTTTAACTGCACCTAACCCCCTATACATATACAAAGGCTAACAGTGCTACACTGTTTTGTAAGAGTATACTTAGCAACGTTCTATCATTCATGTATTATTAAAAGTAGGCTTTGTTAAGCCTAATTTTTTTAAATTCTCAAAACCATTTCTTCTCCTCTGCCTTGGTTTTAAAATATGAGATTCACTAACTGCTGGATGCCTGCTCTTTTGGTAATGACAGGTGACTAAAAGCACCATAAAAAAATAAGAATTTTAACAAAGACATTTATTCTCAAACAGTTTCATTCTGTGCCTTTTCCAAGACAACCAACGGAAGCTCAGAATTGGTGCAAATCCCCCAGAAGCACGGCCACCAACCTCCCAAATGAAGCGCATGGTCCAGATATAATGGTCACTTCTCTAAGCCATGTGACTCAGGGTTGGGGAGGCATTATGAAGTAGAGCAAGCCTAACAAATTTAAAGCCAAAAAACCTATTAATTCTGCTATCCCATTAATTGAGGACTCTTGGGCAAAAAGACTGCTCACACCTGCTCCCTCTCTTTAGGCCTCAATTTTCTCTCCTATAAAATGAAGAGGTTCTAACTAGGACAAATTCCAGGACCTCTTATCGTTAGAACATATGATTTCCTTCTAATATGGACTCTGTGATGTGTTTATATGCATTTAAAGTACATATGGCCCAGAATTAAATAAGAGAAATCTCAAAGATCTGATATAGGAGACCACCCTTCGTAGATTTCACACAAAAATATAAATAAAACAGGCACTTGAAAACAAAATGGGTAAGTCCAGGTTAAAGACAGCAAACTGAGAACACACACATTCACCTCCCACTCCTTCAGGACCCCATGGTAATGGGGGGGGGAGCAGGTGGAGATACAGAAAATGCAAAAAGGAATAAACAGCAAAGAGAAGGGGGTGGTCACCAAAGGAGGAGAAATTTCAGTGTATTTCTGGAAGACAAAGCAGATGGGTGTAGATCAAACAGGTTGAGATGGTCAAGAGGGGACTGCGGAGTACTTAAAGGTTAAAAAAGACCTACTATTCGGGGAGCGGGGAGAAAGTCAGAAATCCCAGAAGAGATTACATTTCCTGCCTAAGAAAATCGTAGATCGAACAGGAAGGAAACTCAAACGTAAAATAATTTTAATCATGTAACAGATATTAAGGGATAAAACAGAAAGATTTGACCTATTTCACCTAAATGCTATGACTCACTGGGGAGCCCTGAGATCATAACATTGGACTTAGAGGAAATCTAATCCTAACACCGTGTTTGGCGTGGCACTAAATATTTAGGTAAACGTACAGACAGTTTATTGGCCTTTTACTTACAGATAAAGCACAGAAGACAGGTTGTAGTTGCACTACACAATGAAAACGTTACTAACCTTGAAGATGTGAAATTGGGTGTAGCTAATAGAAACCAACAAAAAGTGGATGGGGGGCTGCGAGTAGATGGAAAGAAGAACAAAGGTACTAATATCCCCATTTTACAAACTAGGGAACCAAGGAATACTGTTGAAATGTGAGGGAATAAGAAATAGTGGCTTAACTATATTATTTAATTTAGAAAGACAACCAATACTCTTTCTTTTAAATATAACTATCATTAATCGGGAGGAGGGAAAAAAAAAAGAAAGCAGGTGAACAAGCTACATCCTCAAATTTCATAGCAAGGAGACAAAAGATATTATTTAAGTTAACAATTCAACAAGCAGGTATATGCGTAAGATTTAGGGTTGTGCAGAAAACCCGTAGCAGGACAAACCAGAGACAGCTAAAGGAATGCAACTGGGACAGGGAGAGTGTTTCAACAGAAAACTGTTGCTTTGCATTAAAAATGTCTCTGTGCTGTTTAATCTGTTGCCAGAAACATGAATAACTTTCATAAAATTTTTCTATTTAAGTACAGTTGATTTACAATATTGTTAGTTTCAAGTGTACAGTAAAGTGATTCTGATATATACATATATATATACGCACATACCTATATGTGTGTGTGTATACGCATATATATACTTTCATTTTTATTTTTTATTCTTTATTTTATTTATTTATTTATTTTTTGCGGTATGCGGGCCTCTCACTGTTGTGGCCTCTCCCGCTGCGGAGCACAGGCTCCGGACGCGCAGGCTCAGCGGCCATGGCTCACGGGCCCAGCCACTCCGCGGCATGTGGGATCTTCCCGGACCGGGGCATGAAGCCGTGTCCCCTGCCTCAGCAGGTGGACTCTCAACCACTGCGCCACCAGGGAAGCCCTATACTTTCGTTTTTAAAATAAGAGGACCAAAAGAACAGGCATTCAAAAGAGTATGCATGCTTAAACTGTCAAAGAAAACTATTTTTAACATAAAAGAACTTCTTTGGGATCTTCAAATAACTCATCCTGCTTTATACTTATACTGTCCCTTTTGGTTTAAAAAATTGATGTCATAATTTTGTCACATAATTCTATAATGGAACTTGAAACCCCTCCAGATATCTATAATTCTAAATCTAATTATTCAATACAAAAGGCAATTTATAAACTTGCAATTGATAAACCTGACAATTCTGAGCAGTGAGTCAATATACTATAATATATTTGGAGCCACTGCTACCAAAGAATGGCTGTATTTCTCCTGACAGAAAAGATTATACGAAGAATTGCTATTTAAACGGTTGCAAGATGTCCTGCTGTTTTCAATAACAGCAATTCAATTCTATCTCAAAAGTTGTAATCATGGTATGTATTAAGTTTCTCAGTCTTGACACGCGGGGTAAGGAAGGCAGCTATTTCAGGCACTGTCCCTTAGGGTGATGAAAAATGAAAAAGTATCAATAATTCACACTTACCGTGTACCTTTTACATGATGATCTTAGGCTATTAAAAGTGAATTAAATAAATCTCACAGAATTTTCTAAGTATTACCGTTTTATCAGTCCCCATTTAGGAAACTAAGGTTAGTAACTGTACGCTGGTATGGTGAAAAGACAAGCAATTATCTTGCTAAGTCAAATAAACAAAAAGACCTCTCCTCTCTCTTATCAGAACTTTTAAGACAAAATCCTTTCTTGAGACATAAATCAACTAGACAATCGCCTAACTCGAATTTCTGTCCAGCAGTGCCACTTCCTTAGTCGTTATGATACAGAAGCCAGTGACTGCACATGGCTACGGAGTCAAGTCAGAAGCAAAATGCAGACTAAATTTCAGTTTGTAAGACTTCACCCAATACCTTAAATGTTCCAGGAATGGTAAGAGTATTGCACGTGACTGTCATCTGCTAAAAAGAAAGGGGACTGGAGGACGAGGGCCACAATCATGATTCATTCAGCCTTGACTGAAGAAAACAGCACCAAAACGACAAAAATGGAGGCAATATGAAACATTCATTTTAACACCAACTTATTGGACTTATGGTTCAGAAAAATGAAGCGGTGTATAGGTACTGACATGTTTAAAACACAAACATATTTTAGGCTAAAGAAAATTCAGTAACTTACTCAGGGCCAAGCAGGACATGAATATATGACATGGGGATTCGCAAAGGTGTTTGCTTAACAGTTATTATTTTAAAAAACCTTCATCCACTTAGATGACTTTCTATATTCCCCTACCATCTGCATTCCTCAAAACCTTCCAAAATGAACTCATTCTCAAGAAGAAAACATCATGCAACTAATTACTAAAATTTTTTAAATCTCAAAGTAGTCTCTGAATTAACCCAGAAAACACAGAGCCATTGCAAGTAATAAACCTAGAGTTTAATTCTGAATGGTGATACATACCACGCACCTGTGAATCCAAAAGACCACTGATTTTTAAGACACCCTAAATTAATGATTGTGTGCGTCAACTGTAAGATGCATCCTGATTTCAGGAACATTAAAAAGTTTTTAAATGCACATTCAGAATCAAGAAAATACAATAATTATGAAAGATTATCTATAAAGAGTATTACTTCATTCTTATGTGGAAAACAAACTTAGATGAGCCCATATAATAAAAGTTCACATTGGAATACATGTACACTGAAATCAACCTTTCAACCTAACAAAAACTTAGAGTCTAAAGCTAAGTATCATCCCTAGGACAGTATTATATTGTATCCAGTAAAATCACAATGTCCACTCTGAACAAAGGTAGTATGCAATAAATGTGATTTAAAATTCACATTTACAGGGACTTCCCTGGTGGCGCAGTGGTTAAGACTCGGAGCTCCCAATGCAGGGGGCCCGGGTTCCATCCCTGGTCAGGGAACTAGATCCCACATGCATACGCGACTAAGAGTTCGCATGCCACAACTAAGGAACCCGTGAGC